TAATCCATTTGGACCGTCTTAAAGCATCTGACAGTGGTGAGAAATTATCAGTGACACTGAAGGTGTGGAGAACAGTTTAAAAAAAAAATGTGATGCAGATAGATGACGAATCTATGACTGAGTAAAACACCAAAAGGGAATACTGGAAGGATCACTATCAGGCTCCTATTTGTGAACGTTCCTTTCTGCTGCTGGTGGAACCAAGGGTTTTTCCTGGATTTTCTTGGGTTTTTCTTACTTGCTACAGGGATTTGGCATAAACAGAAAAACTGCACCAAGAAATGTGCATTAGACACTTCAACACATCGTCAATGTAGAGGAGATTAAGATACAGGACTGGAAAGCTGGTGACCTCGAGGCCTGGAATAATAGAAATGCAATGCATCCAAGTGAGATATTTACTTGTTTTTCCAAATCGTCTACCCCATGCTGTGACAACCTGCAGTAACTGCATCCACTGTGCTTGGCAGTGGTGAGCCTTCATCAGGGACTTTTTGTCTGGTTTTGAGCACCAAGCTTCAAGAAAGAGGTGGAGCAGCCAAAGACAGCCAAGGAGGTAGATACAAATGAAGAGAGCTTTAACAAACATGCCGGTGAGGAAAGAATTTGAGAAGATTAGTCTAAGCAAGATAAGTTCAAGAGGTTAGGAGGTAACAGTCCTGAAAACATGGGAAAGACAGCTGCTTTAGAGGAAAGCAGTAATCTAGTTTTATGCCTACTGTGGCTGGAGAGGTAATAATGGAGCAGCCTTGGACTGCAGCAGGGACACTTAGTTTAAGCTTCAGAAAAACTTTTTAAAATGAAAATTATAACTAATTACTGGGATAGATTCCTAAGAATACTGCAGAAGAGCCATCTCTAGATGTCTTGCACAAACAACTCTTAGGAACAATTTTGGCATGTTCATTCCTGTCCTGGAGCAAAGCAATAGACTGGGTAGTGGCTTTCTGGAGTGAGCTGCACTTACACAGCCTTCTCCTCCTGTCCATCCCCTTCAACACTTGAGCACACCTTCTGCCAGTTAAAGGAACCGATGCTGCCAATGGGGCTCTCAGCTGCACCCAGGTAAACTCGTTTGGCTAGCCAACCTTCTTTAAATGCCTCAAGTGACACCTATTTAGGGCTGCCATGGCCTTTAAGCATCAGTTCCTTGCTGAGGTATGGCACAAAAGTATCGTGGCCACCAGCTCCCCAGAGCAGTGAGGCTGAAGGAACCAGGGCTCATGAGGCAGCAAGTGAGTCAGCCTGTATCGCTGCTGGGGGCTGGTTTGTGCTGGAGTCGTAGAGAAAGTCCAAGAGCGGGAAGGGTCCTGAGCTGCCACAGGGAGGTGGGAGCTGGTCCGAGAGCTCTTTCCAGGGGCTCAACCCCACTCCACCAGGCAAGACTGGGGTGGTAGGGGGGTCAGGACTGTAGGTACTGCCCGAGGTCTTCAGAGGGCTGGAGTTACCCAGAACTACCCTTCCTCCAGCTGAATAGGAAGGGAGCACTGCACTTCGTGCCTCATGCTCTGAAGCCTTCTCCATATCTGCTGGGTGGTGGAGGAGTGGCCCTTGGTGGAGGTCTCACATCCCAGATAACCTTGCTGCTTTGTAAAGTGCAAAGATACCCCAAGGACAGGCAGCTGCAAGCAGGGAGGGTACCACAAAGCATCTCTGTCCACTGGTCCTGGTCTCCTGCTCCTCCCCAGACACCTGCCACCAGCCCCATCAGAGGCAGCGTGCAGATCTCCATGCCTGCAGACCTCCATATGTCTCCGGGCAGACACAGTAAGGTCACTCTTATGTCTCATTAATGAGCCTTGCTGGCTGTGAGACCCAAGATTAGATGGCGTCTTCCAGTCTATCCCTGCTCCATTTTCTATTGTTCATTACTAGTTATGTTGAGAGCTGAACAGAAAGCAAGCAGCCTATGGATAAAGTCTCACATACAGACACCACGCTTATTCAAAAGCATGGGAAAGTACAGCACCTATTCAGGACCGTACCTGAAAGAGATAGAGAAATCCATTATAAGTAGCAGATCTTACTTGATTTACAGATGTGTGATAACCTTCTATGTCAGATGATTCATTCTCACATAAAGTTGCAAGGCAGCTCAACTCAGAGATGCTCAGATTTACTCAGGCTCTGTTACAGCACTGTCTTGCCTGCACAAAGCAGCTCCTGAAACGCAGCTCTGTTGGCAATAACCTGACCTGGGTTGATAGGAGCAGCCCTGCCACCCATGTATCCACCGTCCCACTGCCTAGCTCTGATCAGAGCAGTGCCTGGCAATGCGGATGGCAGCTCTGACCTTTAGACTGTCACAGCAGTTGCAGCAGCTGTAGGAGAATTTCGAAAGAGGCTCATTGTAAGTGAAAAACCCAGATACTAAATCGTGGAGTGGTGACCAAAATCTTGAACCTTCACTCACCTGAGTTAAGTGGAGCCTTACTCTCCTCTAACCTGCAAGCTGTGGAGTCATTTACATGACACAAAGGCACTAGCTGGATGTGGCAGTGCTCCACATCCATTTTACATTGCAGGAATGTATACAAGCCCCCAAAGTGTTGGGCAAAGGTGAAGAAGCTAGAAAACCTTGGTTTCATTTATGGAGGCAAAAGTCCTTATTTTTTCCAAGGAATCACTGTAGTCAGTAAGCAACAAAACAAATTCCAAATTACAAGATACCATACATGAAAGTTTATTGCTGTAGGGAGTAGATTTGTGCTTGGATACACCCCCTTGTACAGGACCCTCTGCTCAGGCTACTCAGGGTTTATTTATGGACAAACGTGGGGCAGGCTGACCCTGTTTTAAATGGAAACTTTGCGTTTAGTTCTCGTGAAGATACGGTATACAGGTCGGACACAATTTAAAGGAGTTGGCTGGATGTGACCGGGAGGCACTGGAGAGGGGTATGCATGTGTACACTGAGGTGAAAACTGTTTGCAGCATATATAGGCTCTCTAAGAGAGAATTTTAAAAACTGCCGAGTCCAACTCCCAGTTTGTGGGACTTGTGTTCCTGTTAGTCGTACGGATGCTTCTGAAAGTCTTCCTATCTCTTCTTTTATGTTTGTACAACTTAGACTGCTGCGTGCTTTACCAGAAACAGATAATACTATCAGACGTAGCAGTAATGTACAGTATACACAGGGCTTTTACAGATGTGTCGTATTTATCTCACTTTTCACTGAAACTTGCCTCAGACATGTAGGTGAATGCTGTATGAGTCACTCCGCGTCTTGACAGCAGAGATAACTGCAGTGCACCAATACATGTATCTGTAGATCTCTAAGTAAGATCTTGTATCTATCTACATTTTAGAGGGGTGGACTAAGCAAGGGAGTTTACTATAGAAGTTGTTATAAACCGTGGCGTTCCAGCTATAAGTTCTGTGCAGGATATTCACGGAGTTGCAAAGAGCAGATTGCTCCTCCACTCTTTTCCCCCCTCAAAAAGAGACTGGACTGGAGCAGATACATCAAGAAAAGAACACAAAGAAAATACAGCCACACACTGCTATATTACAGAAATGTCGCGCACATCACACATGTACATACATATGGAGAAAAAAATTTCTTAAAAATAAAGAGGAAAAATAAAATTACAGAGAGACAGGCACAGCTTAATATGTAGCTTACAAACATATGTAGCTTTTTACTGTGAAAAGACAGTTCTAGAGCAGCAGCGCACAGATTTTCATTTCTTGTAGCTTTTTCAGAGTTACATCTTAGTAAGAGAAGAATTTATTTCCGACTTTTCAAGTGGAAATAGCCTGAGGAATTTACTAGAGAATTACAGATCACATAATAATCTTTCTATAAAATATTTACAACAGTCAATCAAACTCCAAGAACAGAATGTTGTTCTCCATTAAACACTACAAATTAATTCTTATTCTCAGTTAAGTCAAAGACAAACTTCCATTGATTTCTGTGGGTCTGGGGTTATACCTCATTCGTTGGTTACGAAATTCTATTAAAATATTGCCACTATTAATTAATTCCAGTCATTTATTAAACTAATTTGCATGGAATTCTATTTATTTTTCAGCAGACTTCATTTCATTACCATATTCTTTATCATGGGAGCATGATCTTATTTAAAATATTGTTTAACTTGTTTTCATGTGACCTGTGAGAAAACACTGATAGTATTTTTGCTCTTTAGGCCTATTAGCTGCATTGGTGCGAGTGGGACTCAGCAAAAATATGGGCCTGATATTGCACAAAATATCCTTATTTAAATATACATATGTATATATACATAAAATAGTATCCTATAGCAGTTAACCAACATATTGTTCTTACTGTGGTCTAGACAACCCTGTGAAATGTTGCAAGCCACAAGGAGTTTGCAAGGGAATACTGTTGCTTCTAAAAAGAAGGATGTGAATGAGTTTGACCTCATATGGATTTCAAAAGAAATATTGACTTTCACCCAAAAGACAATATTTAGGATCTGTGTAGAGCAATATTTATTCTCTGAAATAAGGGTTATTTTTTACAAATTTCATCTTACCCTTCCTCCGCTGAATGAATTCTTCATGTAACCCTTCATTAAACCTACAGTAAATCAAACTCTTAGTGAATGCCTTTCTTCTAAACCACTATTATCTTGTCCTTATTCACTCTTATCCCGTATTTCCCAGGAGAGAAAAAAAAAAGCCAGCTAGTTAACTCCTCTCTTATTTGCAATAGGCCAGAATTTCAGTGGAAATTTAAGCCCTTTATTATTATTTTCAGTATAAATCGCAATACAAAGCAAAGCTGTGTTACCCGAAAGCTATCTCAAGTTCCTATTAAAATAATGTTAAACATTCACCTTTCCATGCATTAAAACTGCATTGGCCGCAGCAGGGCCCACTGGTGGTACCTGCAGCTCCAAAGTGCAGTAACAACAGCAATAGCTACACGACAGAAGGCAAAGGTGGCTTTCTAGCTGCCATTCAGCACGGCCGCCAAAACGCAGCCACAGATACTGCATGCATGAAGAAAAGGAAAAGGCAGGAGGCGTCTAGACGTACTGACTTTTGGAGTATGAGCTTTCAGTCTTCCCGTGGCAGTGCTGGTCACAAGTAGGGTGGTGGGGCGGCACGGAGTATCTGTAGCTCCTGGTTTTCTGCCGGCAGCAGCAAAAGCAACAGAAGATGGCTCCGGCAGCAATGAGGCAAAAAGTGGCCCCCCAGCCCAGGTAGAGGGCCTCCCCCAGCTCCCGTTTCTGCGCCACGTTGACCACAGGGTTGTAAAAGTCGCTGATGATGGTGTTGGCCACCCAGCACACAGGGATGAGCTCCACGGCGCCCGAGACGACAAAAAGGAGCCCAGCTGCCAGCAGCAGGTGGCCCTTGGCTTGCTTGCTGTTCCATGCGCACTGTGTGCACTTCATCCCCGCAGCGGCAAGGGCAAAAGCGAGGAAGGACAGCATGGCAGCGGCACACATCAGCCCCCGGGAGGCCTGCAGGTCAGGTGAGAGCGCCAGTGGGGAGTCGTAGACCTTGCACTGCATCCTGATGTTGGCCTGCCTGACGCAGTGCATCCACAGGCCCTCCCAGATGTTCTCAAACACGACGATGTTGTTCTCGATGAAGGCAGACACCCTCCACTGAGGCATGCCCGTGACAGCGAAAGTCCCTACCGCACCGATGCCGCCAACTATCAGCCCGGCCAGCTGCAAAGCACCGCTGACCATGTCGCTTTTGCAAGGCGAGCACACCGCAGCAGGCTCCCCAAAGCAGGCGCACGCCGCAGCCAACCAGTGAGCAGCTTCTGCCAGAAATAGTTGTCCCTTGCGGGAGGAAAGTTTCAGAGTCAGCCTGCACAACTCTAAATCAGCTCTAATCTGGCATGCGCTACCTGGGACTTGGCTGAGCCTTCATCATCTTTGTAATTCCCCTGCCACCACTGGCTCGAAGAGGCAAACTGAGCGATCAAGTGGAGCAACTTTCCAAAGCAAGAGACAGGACAGGGTGTGTGTAAACCAGCAAGAGCCACTGAGGATAAACGCACCTTCTGAAGAAAATGCTTTGCATTGATGTCACCTTTTAAAGGAAAAGAAAAAGAAGCCCTGCCCTCAACTCCAGTTATTTTCTACAGGTTTTACTGTGCTAAGAAAATGGACTGGTGGTCTGTAAGGAGACTTACTTGCACCCTGGTGCAGTTACTGGAGCCATTGCCTTGAATGAGCAGAAAATATTCTGCCACCAAATCCTGCTCAGTCCTGGCTCCTGCAGGAGAGGTGGCAAATTGCCAGGCGGAAAGCAGAGCAGCGCTCCCTGCCACGCGGCCTCTGCTCGGAAAAGTACTTTTGTTCTGCAGCTCAAAGGAGAGTACTACAGTGACAGGATCAAGGAACAAACCAAACCAAAAGGGTAAAGATAAAATAACTCTGAACTTGAAAGAGATGTCTCTGCAGAGGATAATCAAAGCTGCAAAAGACCATTTAAGAGGTAGAAAGGAAAAATAAAAGACCTCAGTCCTGCTAATACCTCTATATATATATATACATATATATATAGCTTTATACATATGCATTACTGTACTGAGTATTATGGGGATAGGCAAGCTTACGGAGACGTCCACATGCTCAGATGGCTGCCGAATCAGATTTACATAATGATGATTTAAGCTACATAGCAAATTGTTTTCCTGTGCAAAAGTGGACCCAGCAATTACCCCATGATCTAGTGCCATGGAAAGTATTGGCTTTCCAAGTAAAAACCTATCAATCAATCAGAGCTATCCATGTAAAAACAAATATTTTAGAAAATCATCTTTTTTTTTTTTAGAAAAGTATAGTTTACACAGAATAATAAGGGGGAGCAGGTGAACAGGCCATTCAAGAATTTGTATGTGATCTCCAAAGAGTCTTGGAAAATGTCAGATGAAGAAATTTGGGAAAGGCAAAGCACCAGAAAAAAATGGTGCAAATCTAGAAAAAAAATCAGGTATGTGACAGTGGACTCTTTTTACCAATTCATTAAGCTATGAATGTATGTATGAAGAATTCAGCCTGATCTCTACAGATATCCAGATACATCAGAAATAAAGATTCAGGCATAAACTAGGATTTCTGGTCATAAAATAGTACTCCATATGTTAAGAAAAGAACTAGTATGCTATATTGTAAAAGATCATTTTAAGATACCACTAGCTAGGTACTAAAGTACTAGTTTCCCGCTATTCATTTGAACTTTCTTTCCTCTGTTTCTTTCCTTGTCATTTTTATATTTTCAAAAGTAGAAATGCAAAACAAACAAACAAGCCAACATAGAACACTGCACTGCTAGATCTGCCAGCTTGTCGACATATCGGAGATTAGAGGAAAGATTACAGTCCCTGTTGCATGTAATAGTTTATATTCCCTCAGTGTGTTTCGTGTGTGTGTGCAGGCATACATGCGGTTGGGGGCAAGAGAAAGTAAGAAGCACTTCACAACTTTTTCCTTCTTCAGCCTGGATTTTGCAGCCACTTGCGTTTCCAGCCCCTGCAGCAGCCCATTGCTGGTAAAGCCGTGCTGAAAGGGTGAAAGCCGGTAACCTCCGCTCCACTTCTGGTCCCCTGAGGCGGGGACCCTGATCTGCAGCCAGGCAACTTTCCATTACTCCCTTTTTTTGGCTCTGTTTGTTTCTTTGAAATCAAACCCGTTATCTCCATGCCTCCCCCAACCAAAGGCACTGAGGGCCTTGCTCTGCACGGTGCCCTTAGCCCAATGGCAGCTCCCAAAGCGTTTTGGGGGGCGTGCAGCCGGCAGGAGCCTGTGCTTTTGGGCTCGCTCTTTGGCAGAGAGCAGCTGCCGTGGGGCTCGGCCGTATCCCTGCCCGCCGCCGCCCACATACCCTGCCTGCTCCGCATTGTTCCCACCGCATATTCATGTATACAATGAAGGCAAGCTTCTGCTTGCCTTCAATCTGCCTCTCCTGGCGGCTCAAGCCGCTCCTGTGAGCAGCGCAAGGGACGGACCTCGCAGCCCCCTCTGTGTTAGCTACCATTACTGCCCTGCGAGCTGAAGGCCTACATCATTTCCGACTGCCTCTGCGCTTTAGACCCCGCGGCCGGGCTCTGCGCGGCTCCAGCTGCCCCGTACGCCCAAGGGATGCTCTCGCCTTCTGCAGCATCGAGGGGGTAACAGCTCTCTTCCCTCTACGCCTCCCCATCTCCCATGAAGTGCAACATTTCTCAGTTGGTGGTAATGGAGGACTTCGTTTCGCTGGGTGAAACATATACATTTCCAATATTTCGGGATTTGGGAAAAGGACTTCAGTAGTCCCAGTGGGAGCCGTTCTTGGATGACCCGAGCTGCAGAATGAAGGAATAATTCAAATTAAAAAGATCCGCTGGACAACATCAACTGCAGCGTCTGCTTGAAGTTGCACCCTGTAAGGCCACGAGGCCAAGAACCCAAATCAGGGTCCATTTCAGTCATCGAAAAAGTCCCAGTGATTTCCTGGGGAGGGGTGGGGGGAATTCCCTTCTACCAGGCTGAGACAAGAAGTGCTTTGAGGAGAGGTTATAAATGCGCAGTATTCTGACACTGCTAAAATGGATTTTGCATATTAAATATATAATTATGTAAATATTTTTGCATGGCTTTGCAGCCTCATGTATGGCACTCAAATAGCAAGGCAAAAACTACCAGCCTACATCAGAACAAATAAACTAGCACTTTAATAACATCCCAGTAAGTAAACACAATACAAGCAGCAGGACTGATTTTTCTTGTAGACTACTAAAGTTCTAATTTGCAGGACACAAAAAATAATTAGCTGAGCAAATATAATTTAACCATGTTATCGATTAATTTACAAAACCGTTAAAGCTCCCATATAAATTCATGGTAAGATTGTGTCTGCGTCAAGGATTCACTATTTGCACGTTCTTAGAAGGATTAAATTTTAGTGCCTTATCTTGCTTAAAAGCACTTTTAGAAGAAAATGTGGGGAAATCCCATTTAGCATTATGGATTGCATCTGCTTGTTTACAATTAAAACACAGGAAGGGAGCGTGAGTCAAGACTCTCACTATTTGTTCTTGTCTATATTCAAACACGCCATTTCATTGCAGGGAAATACTGGAAATACCTGTGACTAGCTAATTGTATTTCAGGCTCGGCCACAGGATCCTATCCATTTTGTTAAAAATAGATGCACGTGCACATCATGTAACCATTTTTCCTTCCCCCTCCCCCAACAGTAAAGAATTGCTATCTTTCAGGCATTGTCAAGCTTTTCTATAGGAGCAGTGTATGGTGCAGATTGGTGTTCCCAGCTCTGCCTTCCTTCTTTTTCTTTTCTCCAAAGCTGACCAGTGAATCAGCTGCAAGCACTGGTCATTCTGTGTTTTGGCAAATAACGCAGACCTAAAGCAGTTCCAGCATTGCCTGAGCAGAAAACACGCTTCGTTGGTCTGTTACCTTCATACAGGACTTTGTGGCCAGGATATTTTGCTTCCTCGTCACTTACTTCAGCATTGTCGTAGCAGCTGTCTCCAATGAATCGCCTTGTGTAGGAGCAAGAAGAGTTTTCTCACCCTGCAGTACACACCTTTTCTTCTGAATGCTCCTCACATTTTGGCAAGGAGGTGAAGGAGGTCATCACTGTGTGATTAGCTTGGCCACTGCTGAGCAGTTTCTCACGGTTCTTCTGGGAACCTGTTGCTCCCTCTTTGGGCAGCATAGCCCCCAAGTCCCTACATTGACCCCTTTTCAGTCATTCAAGATGTTCTAGAACAAAACACATCGGGAAAATACATTTTAAGCATAACGTCCTTCCCCTTCCTTGAGCATACAGCATTGTTTAATTGCAGAACTGTGAAATGCAAACAGCAACGGCTGATGCTGAGGGGGAGGTGGGGAGAGGGGGAAGAAGTGGTTGCTCAACACCTCTAAAAGTCTCACTCTGCATCAATAACACATTGAAAAGAATCCTGATTATTGATGCTCTTACAGAACAACAGAGAGGTGTTGATGTCAGACAAGTTGTTCAGCATTTTCTTTCTTGGAAGGCTATTATTACTGTGTCAGTGGATGTGTGCTGCTCTGTGGATCACCCCAGGTATATTGTAACGTGGCATTTATTTTCTCTAAGATCTTTTACCTAATGTGACAGAACATGAAAAGCCAGTTCAGCATACCTCTTGCAAGCAGAAGTAGTCACATATGTTCTTAACCAGTTTCACTGAAGAGCCACTTCTTTTCAATTGAGGTAGCTTTTACTCCTGTACAATCTCTCGCCATCACTTCCTACCAGCAAAAGATCATGGTTCGGATAGCAAACGGCCCAATGATAGAAACGTAACAAAAAATAAACCTTGCTAGTAATGCAACAGCATTGCAGATAATTATTTTGTAGAATCTCTTTGCTTAATTTTGCAAATAACTTTACACATTTGCTTCTCTAGCTCCCCACACTTTATATCCCATATATAAAATCCATGACAATGTGATGATGTTCCCCTTGAATTAGCATGTGTTGCAGAAATTTCAATTTTCTTGCTTTTAACTTGTGATTATTATAAGAAGTGTTAATGCAGGAAGTTTTTCTAACTTGGAACAGGGACATACAGTTCAAAATGGGATTTCCGAAGATACCCAGTGGCTAAAGAGCATCAGAGGCAACAACATTCTATATAATTTACCTCTGTACACCCTCAGAGACAGCTGAAACCTCATAAGAGCTTGGCATTTGAACAAGG